GGTATGTATGTGTATATATATATGTGTGTACGTGTGCTTGTATGTTTGTGTGTGTATGTATACTTCTCCCAGTATCAGGACATAGCGTTGTGCATGCATCTATAGACTTGAATGAGGTTATGTACATATTTATAAACGCTCATTTCAAAACTAGCGGTAGCATGCACTTATCTTTCGACATGTTGTACATTTATATTGCATGTCAGATGAGAAGTGTAAATCCGTCTGCATATGTATAGTTTTTTTTGAGAAAATATTTAACTTTACTCTCCTTGATATACTAGACAATCATACGTGTATAAATTCGCGTAGCGATGCATACGTGAGACATTCTCATAACTGATACACATACATCTTTATGCAGATGTACAACTATATATGTATAAATGTGAAGCTTTATCAGTGTACAGTATTAATATATATTATGTATACTTATATGTATGCAAACAAGCGCATGTATGTCAATATATTAGCTGCATGTTTTTACGCTATGAAATGACCGAGTCAATACTTCGCGCCACCTCTCAATAGTCTTTTGGTAAATTGTGCTTACGAATTTAAATTCGCTCACAGTTGCCTTTATATTGTTTTTACTCAACTTGAATCAACCATCCTCATTTGCGCATTCAAGTAATTTTTGCACATATACGATGATGTTTTAACGGCATGTGTGTAGTATAAATATACATGTGTATGTGGTTGTTTGTATTTGTGCGTATACTCGTACGTACACAAACATGCACGTGATAAATGTGTCCTTCTATAGTTTTACATGTTACTTCTATTCATGCCTGGATATGGTGTGTACATACAGGCTACAAACAGGCAACAAGCTGGCGATAAAAATAACATGTGCAGTACACACGTATAATATCATCCATCGACTTAAAAATGAAATTTATCAGCAACGCAACGGAATATGTTCATCAGCAAACATCAAATTTCTTGTTAGTAAAGTAAATGTAAATACGTATCATTTAATTAAGAACAGGCACATGTATATACAGTGATATTTACACTATGTACATACAATATATAGTTGCGAAGCTAAATGATCCAGTCACTTTCCTTTCTCAATAAAAACAATTATTAAACTGTTGCAGACAAGCTTTGAAGCCTAAAACCTTTAAACTCCAAACGCTACATCACACAGCCCGATCATTACACCCGGGCCAATCCAGAATGTACTAGAGCAACAGAGACGCGACGAATTGCGCACACTCAAAGCTGTCGTCAACTTCTGCAAACAGAACGCTGCACTTGGGCTATTCTTCCACGAAACGTCGTTCGATAGCGAGCGGTTCTATGCACATGGCCAAGGTAAGTGATAGCTGCGTTGGGTTTAGCATAATAGTGTCATGACATGATAGTGAGAAAGCACGGCACAGTACAACAAAGTCAACACGCCTGCAGTGTAAGCACTATAATATCTTGGTTTTGGTCTTTGAATTTGTTGTAATTTTGGTTTATTAAAAATCAATAAAATCAACCCGGGTGCACCACTACATACCTCTAATATACGAGTACTCTGTGTGTGTGTGCCTGTTTATATATATATATATATATATACACATGTATATGAATATATATATATATATATATATATATATATATATATATATATATATATATATATATATATATATATATATATATATATATATATATATATATGTATATGATATATATATATATATATATATATATATATATATATATATAT